ATTTAATTAGCTCGAAATAATTATATGATCTAAGATTAAAACAAAAAAAGAATAAAATAAAATATATAAATAAACATAATTAAAAAAAATATAAAATTAAAAAACTATAATATTTAAAAATTGCTCACCAAACTTATCCATTTTTGTGCTCCGTTTATTTTTCATTCGGCGAAAAGGCCCCTGGTCCACATAAATTTTAAAATTTCACTCTAAGACTTAACCCGGATCAACTGCTGTTAAATACCGAGATAATTCAGAATTCACGAGTTGATTCGGGTCAACGCTAACGTCTGTCTATGCTATTATGTATGTAAATATATGAATTCGCCTTGTCTATAGTCTTAACAGAAAACTACATAGAGCCAGAAGTTAAAACTTTGCGTTGTTCCGTTTGACTGGTGAACTCAATAACGGCTTTCCTGTAGGAGAAGTGTGCAAAAGAAATCGAAAACTTGTACTTTCTAAAATTTTGCAAATAACAATTAGCGTTCATCTGAGCTACAACAAAGAATTTTCAAACCTTGGAGTTGTGCCAGCAGTTTTAAATATTTGATCTTCTCCATTGTTTCATAAGTAAGTAAAACTAAGTCTCAATATACATACATATGTATGTAAGTATGTAGATCTGTAAGAATGCTTGTTTGCAGTATAGGATAAACATACATATGTACTTACATGCAAACATATGTATGTACTTTCTAGGCATACACAAATCATATTCTAGAAGATAACTTTATAATAGACTGATCAACAGGTCATAAGCGCTCCATAGTAAATACAAACCACCAGAAAAATACGAGTACATAAATTCCCATCAATAAAGGAAATTTCAATACGTCCAGCAATGGCAACAAATGGTACACGTCAACTAATACCAAATGTGATTGGTCATAACCTCACGCCTTTCATCAAGAAATTACTGAATAACATATGCAACTTTTACGATGAGCAGGACCTCATAGATGTAACATTTAAGTTGTCTAATCCAACTGCCTTGTGAGTATTTCATTGATTTTCACATGTAGTATACGAGGGTGACAAAAAAGTCCTTAGAATACACCAACAATGAAACACGACGATACAAAATTTTATTATTGGTTTCCAAGTTAAATTAATGGCAGGTTTGATTAATAGCCCGTCCCTTCTGGCTGCAGTAAACCTTAATATGTCTGGGAAGTTGGCATACGGTATGACCAAAAAAGAGACTTGGTTTTCACTCTTGAAAAAGCTATACTTTCCTCCCTCAATAAATAAAATAATGTCTTTACCATATCCAAATCAGCTGATGAATTTAACTCTGTAGCTGAATAGTTTTAGATCTCGCCACATAACGAACTCCTAATTTTCACAACTCGAATGAATAAAAACAAACGCAAAAAAATAAATAAAAAATTATAAACAAATGCCAAAAAAAAAATTATAAACAAACTGTTATCGAAATTCAAATTGAATATTTGCTAGTAGTGTAAACAGCCAAAATTTGAAAACAATATTGAGGGTTGAAATTGCGCATTTTGCACGTGGCACAGTGGTCTGAGAGTGGCAGAAAGTCCAAGTTTCGAAATGTCTTGAAATAGATAAATAAGTGGTCGGCCAGACTCTTGACATGCCTATTAACATGATCTAAGTCCTTTTACGGAGAAAAAATGGCACTAGTATTATTCAAAGGGCACTTGATGTCGGTGTTGTATGAATCGTATTTTTAACCGACTTCAAAAAAAGGAGGAGGTTATCAGTTCGTCGGAATATTTTTTTAATTTTAAATATTTTAATTTTAATTTTTTTTTTTAATTTTAATTTTTTTTTTTATTTTACTTTTTTTAGATTTCGATAATTCTTCTTTTCAGAAAGGTGGTACCTCAAGGGTGGTTCCATACTAATCTTGTTTAGATCCGATAACTTGATCGTGAAGAGATTAACGACAATCTTAAATTTTTATATGAGAATTCAAGTAGGTTTTGTTTTTTGCTTAAAAATTACTTGTTACGTAAAAATTCAAACAAGCATTTCACGGACTCAAGACTGGCAATTCAGTTTTTATTGGGTTTGTTTTAACGACAATTTTCCTAGTCCTTTCAGAGTTGAGAACATCCCATTAAATTCCATTAAAAAATTTATGCTTGATGTTACTAAAAAATTGCGTTAATTTTTTGAGAATTTTTTTTTTTGTTGAAGGTGTTTTGCAGTTTTTCCTTACAAAGTTGTTTGTAACACTTTTTTTTTGTTTTTTGGAAGAAACTGCGTGAAAAGAATTGCCAAAAATCAGTGGTAAGTCGTAGCTACTTCAAACTTGCACTTTATTATAATAAAATTAATTTTGCACACTCAAACAAATTCTAAAAAATCTGCTGAAAAGTTGAAAATTTACAAGAAAATTTATTGAGTTTTCCCCGAGTTTTGCACAAAGTTTAGAAATTATGATTTTAAATTTTTGTTGTAGTATGAACTACATATATTTCTATAAAAAATTAACGGGGAAAAAATGAAATGAAAATTGTTGCATATATGGTAAAAAAAAATCTCTGTACCAATACCTTTTGCCGGCAGTGTATATGATTTAACGCTAGAACCTGCTGGCATTCCGTTTATCTGGACTGGGCTGTCGCAAAAAGTAGCAATTGATATCCGATTTTACGGAAACTTGCCATTTCGGATCTTTTCCTAGAAATCAGGAAGTACAAAAAATGGCATAGATTGGCGAATGGTAGATGTTATCTGAATTTAATAAAACTCGGTTTTTATAAAAAAAAAAAATTTATAACTGATGGACACGTCATTCGGCCGACCATTTTACAGATTTGAGTTTTTCCGGTTAAGACTAAGATACCGAATCGAATTTTATGAAAATCAGATCACATTTCCTATTTGCGCGCGCTAGTGTAGTGGGCGTGGCAGTTTGCCAATCTATGCGATTTTTTAAGAGTTCTTCATTCCTAACCAAAAAATACGGCAGATAAAAAATCACAGTCGAATCCGAGAACAATTGTTACTTTTTGCCATATTTTGTATGTGGCTCTGCCACTGTGCGTCGTGCAAATTCGCTGAAAAAATATTTATTTGATTTCTTTTTTGTCACAGAATTCCAGCACATCGCTTGATACTCTCAGCGGCAAGCCCTTATTTTAAAGATCTTTTCAAAAGCGACAAGGGCCTAACTCCGGTTATTGAATTAAATAACATAGACAGTGACATCTTTGAGCTTTTAATAGCATTTTGCTATACCGGCAAAACGCTCATAATCATCGAAAATGTGGATGTAATGCTGAAGGCAGCCATGTATTTGAAATTGGATGAGGCGGTGGTCAGTTGTGTTGACTATATTTTGCAGCATATAACTGAGTATACACTACAGCGGGCATATTGCTTAGAGCGTGAAACTCATTGTGTACCACTGTATGAGAAACTCTTGGAATATGAAATAAATAATTTTATGGAAGTGAGTTATACGAGTATTGCCTTTAATTTTTTTTTTCTAATTACATATCGCATACTTTCTCAAAATAGGCGGAACTCAAACTTGAGATCCCGAAAAGCAATTGACACAAAAGGGCATTCAGGAGTAGTGTGCCAGTTAGAGATTATAATCATGAAAAAATTGACATTAATTGGCGATAAATCCTACAATTTGATTTATAAAAAAATTAACAAATTTTTTATTTTTTTTTTTAGTTGTGTCTTTTGAAGCGAGTGTGCGATATGTACCTATCTTGACGTTAATGTAGTTTTGATCGTTTTTTTTTGCAGATAAACCAAACCCCCGATTTTCTTAGATTCGAAGCTGAAAAATTGCAGGCAATCATAGAAAGCAACAATTTGAATGTGACTTGTGAGGAGGATACTTTTCATGCCATAAAACGCTGGTATGAGTACGATACTTCTGTACGACAACAACAACTACCAGATTTAATTGGTCGCCTACGATTGACCCATTTTGACACTAATTTCTTATTGAGAAATGTCAAAACACTTCCTGGATGCGAGCTATTGGCTTACAAGGCAATATCGTGGATTACGCTACCATCAGATCAGACGAAGATATCGCTCTAATTTACAGCGCCACGAGAAAAAACTATTTGCGAAAATTCGGAAGAGTTAACTTTGATAGCTGTGCAAGCTTATGTAAGTGCAACAAAATGATTTTTGCATTATTGTTTTCCTATATTACGAGTAGATACAATTAAAAGTTGGAATCACGTAGGTAAGTCCAAATCTTTTGTAAACGAGTTTCAAAATAACGGTACAATTCAAAACATATCGAGCCCTAACCGCCAAAATAACGTAAGCGACATTTTTTTCAAAATTTTCTTTTTGATGCA